ATATATATATATATATATATAGCCTTTTGGATAATTGGTCTGGCTTGGTCTGGCTTGGCTTGAGGATGAGGAATGTGCAACTCAAGCTCCACGATTTGTATCACTTGAAAAAAGAAAGCCACGTCGCTCGCCGAGTATAGGTACCTACATAGGTACAAATAGTAATGTGAATATTGAATCTTGAATGTTATACCGTTCAGTCACAGTCACAGTACCTAAACTCACGCGAGTCACGGACGGAAGTTGCTGCATGGGCATCGCTCGCTGCATGCACCAAACGTAGAGCCCGATTTTTTTGTTTTCTTTTTTTCTTGCCCGCTCTTCTGCTGCACGCGGTGATGCTAATTTAGGTGTCACGTGCACTCACCTTCCCGCGCGCCCCCGAGTAATTCAAGATTCTTGATTAGCATCACATGTCTATCCTTCTCCTCTCCAGCAGCCCCGAACAAGCGGCAAGGGCAAGATGTGCACTGCGTCCAGTGTGAGTGCAATCATTGCGAGTCTGTTTCCATGCTCAACATTCTTGATTGCTCGTACCTTCATCGCAACCAAGAATTTTGCACATGAAGTGAGTACATTTCAGAGGTTAGAATCCGGGCTAATCTTGAATGTAATGCACCAACAATCCCCTTCCCCCTCCCCTCGCCCTTCAAACTTCTTTCTCTCTTTCTCCTTTGCCGTCCCGAACAATCATAAAGTGCGCACTACGCTAGCTAGCTCCAACTTGACATTCATTCCACCAACCATCATCCATCGCCCATTCCATTTTGATCGCCGTGCAAACCTGTGCGTAAAGAACAGAGCTGGACGCGAGCGCGCGCGAGCGCGCGCCTCTTTCCCTTGCCTCGCAATTCAACACACCTACCTACACCTCTCCTATTCAAAAAGATCTGATGCCATGCGCAGTACTTCGTCGAACCAATGAACGGGTTGCATTTTTGTGAAAAGGGCAGAACAGATACATGTGTGTTGCTGAAGCAGCACGAGATGCAAAGGATGCGACAAAGTGTGACGTCGCGCAAGCGAAAGCGTCAGGCTTTGCCGCCCCTTGCCCCCTTTCCAATCAATGAGGAGGAGAGGGGGCGAAAGAGGTGAAAGGCACCACAATCACCCAAACCACAAATGACTGTCAGCTCAAGCTGCATCGTCGCCATTTGCAGAAGCAGCAGGTGCAGCGCTGTTACCTTCAGCAACAGCACTTTCGCCATCTCTCTGACCAGTCCTGCCCGCTCCCCCTCCTCTGCCACCGCGTCCCGCACCTCTTCCACCTCTCCCACCTCCTCTTCCTCCCCTCGTCGCATTCTCGCTTCCAGGCGCAACGGGATGAGCCTTTCTATCGATAGCTTGACCCATGGCAGAAGTTCTAAAGCTAAATCCTCTCGTCTTTTCGATGACCGATTGATAAATGGGCGGATGGGTCTGGTTCATATGAACAATGCCCTGATTGAAGTCGATCTTGGCATCCGCTCTAGTGTCCCTAATAAGATTCACCACCCACTTCTCTCCCTCTTCCTTCGACATGTTGAGTCGGGTGGACAGATCCGCAATATCCACCTGCTGATGAATCCTGCAGTAGATTTCCGACACCAAGAAACGAGCAGCTTCGACGAAACTGTCTGCGTGCTCTTGCAGAAAGAAATCGTCATTGGCGACCTTTTGAGCTTGCGATAGTTGATCTTGAGCCGCCTCAAAGTCAAAGTCGGTGTAGAGCTCCTTGACAAAGTCCACCAAAGGGTCGGCTTGAAGTCGGTGAGATTCTTGACTGATCATCCGCGTGACATCCCTCAGCGCTGCTGTCGGCGACACTTTGGAAAGCCCATTGTTGCTCTGAACGCTGTAGATGCGCACGGATCTGCGAGTCATGATGACCGCGGCTACCAGGTAGCGCAACAGCCACCAAGCAGAGGTCTGCATGGTGTTGATGTATGCGGGAGCGAGGAACATCTCCACCAATCCCACCCTTCCTTCGGGATGGTTGAAAAAGACGAACAAGCTCCAGTGCAACAGCCATGTGCGCCTACGCAGCGCTCCTTCTTGAG